ATGATATTTTAAAATGTATTTTAATTAAGAAGAAAAATTAATATCAGTTTTATAAAGGGGATGGTGCCTGATATGAATTATGAGAGAAGAATGGTCAAGAAACAGGTAAAGATGTAATGTGTTGGAAGAAAAGCATCTTTTGTTAAAATGGGGAAAATTAAAAGGTTAAGTTAAATGCATGGAAGCAAGATTTTATTTGTGGCCTTATGTATTTGGAAATATGTTGCATATTAACTGTTTGTGAAATCAGTAACAATTAGGATAAAATGTATATACTAATAATATGTTCCCATATTGGGGAGAATTTGTCCTGGGATCAGAGAATCAAATTTTGAGGTTATAGGGTATGAAAGGGAGATAAAGGGATATAGTGAACTGATATGGCAACATCTGAAAACTGTGTGCCATTAGGTTTGCCATCAGTTTAGTAGGTACATCAAACTTGGTTCAGTGTGGTGGCTTCATCATGGGTGCAAGCCCTTTGATGGACCTCTTGCTTGCCTTGAAAATTGGCTGAGCTTTCAAGCCAAACCTTCCCATATTCGGTTCTGGTATCTGTTTCCACACTGATATACTTCCTTTGATGCCACGATCTTTTCTCTCTTTTTTTTTTAAAGAGATTTCATTTATTTATTCACAAGAGATACACAGAGAGAGGCAGAGGGAGAGGGAGAAGCAGGCTTCCTTCAGGGAGCCCGATGCAGGACTTGATCCCAGGACCCTGCGATCATGACCTGAGCCAAAGGTAGACGCTCAACCACTGAGCCACTCAGGTGCCCCAATACCAAGACCTTTTCAATTCTGGATATTTACTACCCTTGGTAAATGTTTATTAATTGTGTTGTTCAGCTTCATGTTTTTTCTCCCCTCTATGTAGTTCATCTTGAACAGCATTTGCAGACAAGTGAGAGGCAAGCATTGTACAGTTTGCCACATACCCAGCTCTTCCTTCATGTCTCCCAATTGGCCATTTCTTACATTACCTGTCTGGGACATGAAAACATTTTAGTTTCCTTTCTCTAATTTTCGCCAGAGGTGCCAACATAAACATGAATGGGAGCTGGCTTTGTTTATTCACTGGTTCAACAATGTTTATGGAATGCTAACGTGTGCCAGGCTCAGTACTGATACCATAGTCTGGAGTCTGGAATAGACATAAATTAAACAGTTTTATTTTATTTATTTTTTAAAGGTTTTATTTATTTATTTGAGAGAGAGAGAGAGAGAGAGAGAGAGAGAGAGAGAGGCAGAGACATAGGCAAAGGGAGAAGCAGGCTCCATGGAAGCCCAATGTAGAACTCAATCCCGGGTCTCCAAGATCATGCCCTGGGCAGAAGGCAGGCACTAAACCACTGAGCCACCCAGGGATCTCCAAATTAAACAGTTTTAATTAGATACAGAGATACTAATCCATAAATGGGTTATGCCTATTCCTAAACTATTTTTGTGTGCTATGATGCAGATACAAACTTACCATTTATTTATTTTTTAAAATATTTAATTATTTATTTTAGAGAGATAAAGAGTGTGGGGGGGGGTAAAGGGAGAGAATCTTAAGCAGACTCCTGGCTGAGCATGGAGCCTGACAGTGGGCTCTATCCCACAACTCTGAAGTCATGACCCTGAGATCATGACTTGAGCCAAAATCAAGAGTGAAACGCTTGACCAACTGAAGCATCCAGGTACCCCCAAACTTACCTTTTTTAAATTTTTTTAATTTTTAATTTTTTAATTTTTAATTTTTTTTTCCAAACTTACCTTTTAAAACACAGGCTTACATTTGCTAGTTTTCATTGAGGCCCTGGTTGAGAATGTAGAAAATGTGATGTAAACTATGAGATTATCCCTTCGTTTCTCATCTTCTCTACTTGAGTTTACATTTTAGAATTGAGCTTCCATTGTTGAATGATGACCACCCTTTCCTTGGCTTTGTAATAAACTTTTCACCTACTCCTGACCCAAAGGCCTTTTCCCAAAGTGTGAACATCCTTTGTTGGCAGAATTGCCAGATTTTAAAAAACCAAAAATACAGCATATTTTATATAATATATGAGAGCTACTTATTTTAAAAATCAATGTATTGTTTCTCCAATATTCAGATTTAACTGGGCATCTTGTATTTGACCTGGCAATCCTATTCTTAGGGGAAGAAAAAGTGAAGTTAAAATTGTAAGTGGACAGGAAACAAGGAGATAGATATTATGACTGAGCATTTTGTGTTTTCCATGGGTTTCCTTTGTCCATGTGTGCCCTCACAGTTCTGAACTTCTATAATTATATACGGTGACTAGACTATGTTAATCTGTGGAAGTGTTTTTTCAATGTGAGAATTTAAATTTGTTCAATTTATAAGACAACTTTTCTTTATTTGAATATCCCAATTATGAGCCAAATCCAAATTTTTATGTAGTATTTGGTGCATATTTATGAGGGTTAAATTTATCAGTTATGTAAAAAGTTTTGTTCCAACTTGAAGATTGAGATTTTCTGAATAGATATCTTCACGTCCCTCTCTCCAAGTCCAGAGACCAGTACTCATTAGGAAGAAGTTCAAAGGCATAAAGAAAGGACTCTAGAATTAGGATATTTATGTCCCAGTTTGGGGCCTGCCCCTGGAAAAATGGTTTCAGTATTGTGTCTCTGTTTCTTAATCTATAAAATGAGGCAGTTGGACTCCATCTGCATGTCTCAAGGTGTGCATGTCCTAAGAATCATCTTCCTAACAGTGCTCCTGGGGTCAAGGAAGTTCTAAAAAGTTGCATACACCTTTGGGTTATTCAAACTATAACTACATGTTAGCAACCATGAGTCTCAACAAACAAGATAAAAAGATAAGACAATGCAAAATGTGTGTACTCCAAACTTTTGGACTACAGACCCCATTCTGAGCAATCTACCAACACTACTGGGACCACCTAGAAGACTCTGATTTTGATGAATGTGCTGTCTTTCGTCAGCTCTAACATGCTGTGAGTATCCCCAGAAAAACCTGGCTTTAGTGAAATGCAACCTCATATTTCAGGAGATTGAGCTATTGTGGCTCAAACTGTACAAACTGTGAGAATATGGCCAATGTCCAGAGCACGCAGAGAGTATAGGGAAGCTAATAAGCTGCTTCCTGACTCATTCATAGACCATGTCAACTCCCCCCACAGCATCTTCTTTGACTATTAGGAAGACTGCATTGATGTATATGTAATCTGCCCTTCCCAACTTCCTCTTGATTCTCTGATCTTGATGAGAGTGTTGCCATGGAAATTTTGGGTTATAGTGTATATTCAATGTGTTTTAACTTCTCTTGGGGAATTGTGGCTCCTTTTCTCACTTCTCATCTCCTTTCCCTTGGCTCTTGCTAAAATGCCTACACAGGGTTTCAGAAATTAAAATGTCACTTTTACTCCTATTATTCCGATTCTAGTCTGGGGTATCTTCTCATTTCACATTTATGTCACACAAACGTTTAAAAACCTGAGATCCTAATTTATTTTGTAGTTGAAATCCTTCTCTCTGTAAGCCTGTTCAAATGACTTTAGGCAGAAAATCATCAGCTTTTGAAGTCATTGATGTGGCTTCTGAGAAATGGGGCTGCTGTGATTGATGTCTCGGTCCCAAAATAGCCAATCTTCTCAGAATTATGGTAGAGAAGTGTGAGGAGGTGGGAGGGCCTGGATACAATGCTATGAGCTGAATTATGTACCCAGATTCATGTGCTGAAAGTCCTAACCCCAGTATTTCAGAATGTGACTGTCTTTAGAGATAGGGTCTTTAAAAAGGTGATTAATTAAAATGAAGTTATTAGGGTAGATCCTAATCCCATATGACTGGTGCCCTTGTAAGAAGAAGAAGAAATTAGGAAACAGGCACAAATGGAGAGAAGATCACATGAAGACACAGGGAGAGGTGGCCAGCTTCAAGCCAAGGAGAAGGGCCTCAGAAGAAACCAACCCTGCCAGTACCTAGAGCTTGGATGTCCAGCTCCTAGGATTGTGAGAAAATAAATATCTGATGTTTAAGCCACTCAGTCCCTGGTATTTATTATCGTAGCCAATGAAAACACACAGGTGTCCCTGGACACCTTTGTCCTGTGAATGTGGCTCTTATGGCCAGGGAGAGGTTTACTGGCTTCTCAACTTCTATGTTGATGTCATAATGTTGGCAGTAGCTTTCCCATGATTTCCAGAAGAACGATCCATGAAAGCATCTTTATAAAGAAATAGCATCCAAATACACAGGTGTTTATTTTCACAGAAGCCATCCATGGCCCACAAGCAGTTCTCATCACTTTCCTGACAAAGGGAATATTATAGAAACAAAGTTGAAAAATATTTTGCTACGTGGAGCAGCTTTGGTTCAGCTGCAAAGCTAAACTTTCACTTCAGTGCTAAATTGGAATCGGCTGTGAATGGTTACAAATGAAAATCTGTCACCAGTGAAGGATCTTATCTGCAACAAAAGGCAAGAACAGGCATTTCTTAGTATTACTGTGTTCTAGCAGGTGGTTTATATACCTGGGCTCCTGAATGCTTTCTTGGGCCATGTTAAATTTATTGCCTTTCTGGACTCCATACGAGAAAAATCACTTTAAGGAGAGACTCTCTGAGCAGTGTCATGACAAGCTCCTGTAGTGTCATGACAAGCTCCTGTACATACTCTTGCCTTGTCTTCTAATCCCATTGAATTTGCTCAGATTAAAAAAAGACACTACCATTCTCCTCCCATTTGTCTAAACGCTTTTGGTCTCTTGTGTAAATTAGCTTCATTCATATTTTTGTTTCATAATCTGATTTAGTTTGAACTTCTACTAATCCTTCAATTACAGAAATCATTCCTTTGCCTTGATTTAGTGCCACAGAGTACTTGTTCTAGCATATAGGGATTGCAGACATAATTACGCTTTTGTCTAGATCTCAGTCATTGGCTCCACCCTTATTTTTATTCCTGTGTCTATCCATCCAGGAACAAAGAGAATGCAAAATATACTATGATATCAGAACTACAAAGGAAAACAAAATGCATGTTTACTGGTGAAAGAATCGTCCAGAGCTGCTGGAGACAGGTAAAAATTCTGCCTCTGAACCCCCTAGCAAGCCCAGTAAGAAAGAAAACATATTCATTTGCAAAGAGACTAGTGTAAGTAAAGAAAAAAAAAAGGTACTTATTAACTGTATGACTTTGAGCAAATGAACTCATTACTCTGTAGCTCAGTTTCTGCATAAGTTGAATGTGGATGATAGAAGTAGCTTCTTTGTATAGGCATGCGACGAGGATTGAATCAAATGTGCTAGTATTAGTAAAGCATTTAGAACAGTGGTTGGCACAAAGCAAGTACTATTTAAGTATTTTTAAAATTAAAAATAAAATAAATGCCAAGGAAGTTTCCCAAGAAATGTTTCATCTAGCACTTTAATTAATTAATTAATTAATTAATTAATTAATTAATTAATAAGATTGACTTATTTATTTTGAGAGAGAGAGATAGTAGGCGGGTACATCCATGAGTGGAGATGGGGGGTGTGGAGGCAGTGGGAGGGGTAGAGGGAGAGAATCTTTCACGCAGACTCCCCCTGAGGCAGGAGCCCATTGTGGGGCTGGATCCCATAACCCATGAGATCATGACCTAAGCCGAAACCAAGAGTCAGACGCCCAAACGCCCAACCCACTGAGCCACCCAGGAATGCTCCCTGCCTCCCCCCACTCCCCTACCTAATTTTAAAGGCTAGTTCTCATTGGGAGCTTCACCTTATGAATCAGATAGTGAGAGACAAGGGATTTCTCTACTGCAAACACATTTGTGGGATTCATGGGATGTTTTCTTGGCTCATCCTTTAATAAGCACCAAGGCCAACTTAATATGTTCTGAATCTGCAATGTTCTGATGCTCAGGCTTTAATTCTAGATTTAAAAGAAATGAATGGGCTCATTTCCTTCAACAAACCCTACATAAATATCATTTCTCTTATCAGGTCAGGGTATTTTATAAATTGTGCAGTAGAAGCATGGGGTTATAGTCTCTGCTAGAGCTTTACATAAAAATGCTGCTCGTAGCACCAGGGATTCAGTGTGGCGTTTGCTGGTTGATAACAGACATGCAGGCTTTCCAATTACGACTGTGCCACGGGCTGGCTGTGTGATCTTGGGCGAGTTACTTCTTTGAATCCCCAGCTTTACCCTCTGAACCTCTGCAATCTCAAGAAAAAAAAAAGTGCTTTGAGGATGAAGAAGATGATGGAAGTATAGCACTAGCTCCATGAGTGATACATAGTCAAGAGTAAGGAAGAGTGGAGACTCTGATTTTTGCCAGTATGGTGACTGTGTTGAGCCTCACGCTCCTTATCTGTAGTGGTTCCTTTCCTGTGAGATAGTGAAGATTAAACACAGGCGTGAACCACAGTGATTAGAACACAGGTCACCTGTTGTTATACTCTATTCAACCTTCTATTAGATACTATCTATATATAATATGTTTTAATTGAATTAACATTTGGTAAAAATGACATATTTGGAGGGGGGCCGAAATGATTTTTTAGCACTGTTTTCCCACCAAAACATGCAAATGATTCATACAAACTTTATTTTTTCTTAAAGATTTTATTTATTCATGAGAGACAGGGAGAGAGAGAGGCAGAGACATAGGCAGAGGGAGAAGCAGGCTCCATGCAGAGAGCCCAATGTGGGACTCAATCCCAGGACCCAGGGTCATGCCCTGAGCCAAAGGCAGACACTTCACCAATGAGCCACCCAGGCGTCCCCATACAAACTTTTATCATAGAAACAGTACTTGTGCATTGTACAAGATTAGAAAATTGCATGCAAACAAAAATATAGAATAAAAACATGCGTTCCCATGGCAGAGAGATTACCACAGTAACACCCTGGAGCATATGCACCTGTACTTTTCCTATGAATATATATGAGGGATATTATATACATATTTAAGACTTTATTTTTTAGAGCAGTTTTAGGTTCACAGAAGGATTGAGAGGAAGACAAAGATTTCACATATATCCCCTTTCCCAACACATGTATAACCTCCTTCACTATCAACATCCCCCATGGGAATATGAACAGTTATTACAATTGATGAACCTGCACTGACACATCATATTACCCGAAGCCCACAGTTTACACAAGGGTTCACTCTAGCTGAGCATTCTATGGGACAAATGTACAGTGACTTGGGACCACCATGATTGTATCCTACAGAGTATTTTCATTGCCCTAAAAATCCTCTGTAAGGTATTTTTTAACAGTACAATATCATACTCCACACATTGTTTTACAATATACTTTTTTCAGCTAACTATCTTGGTCTTTATAGGTCAATAAATTTTCTCTCACCAAATACCATAAACATCATAAAATATTTCCAAATGTCCTAGTTTTATTTTTTATAGCAGGTTTGTTCAAATCAGTATTCAATTCATAACTACACAATAGCTTGGGTTTCAATGATTTTTTATTTGTGTCTTGATCAGTTCCGTAGTGGTCTAGCTTATATATAGTAAAATGCACAAATCCTAAGTGTACCATCTAGTAAGTTTTGACACATGTATAAGCCTACGAAATCAAAATGAAAATGAAGACACGGAATATCTCACCCTCTCCAAAGTTCCTGTATGCCCTATTTCCATCCATTGCTCGTCCAGAGGCAGCCACTCTTCTGATTTCTGTCATTTTATGCATTTATTTTTAATTGTTCTTAAACTCCATCTAAGCAGAGTGATTCAGTACTTACTCCTCCTTTGAGTCCGAATTCTTTCACTGAATGTTATGTTTTTGAAATATCCGTGTTGTGTATATTAATACCCTTCCCTTTTATTGCTAAGTAGAAATACATTATATCTATGAATATACCACGGTTTATCATTCTCTGGCTGTGGTGGATTTAATAGTGCTCCCCTAATTATGACACTCCTCCCACTGAGAAGTGAGGTGTACCTCTCCACTGTCGAAGCTGGGTTCTCTGCCTGCTTGACAACAGAAGCTGGCAGCTTCTATTTCCCGTCTCTTGGGATGGTTGTTATTGGCACCCAGCCACCCTTCTGTGAGGAAGACCACGCAGTTCTGGGGAGTGGCCCCCATGAAGAGGTCCAGGTAGAGACTGACTCAGTCTCCAGTGGGATTCAATTACTTTTTTAAAAAACTTCATTTCTTTTCAGTTTGATAACTTGAATTTTATTTATTTTTTAGTTTACAGATCTCTTGTAAAATCCACCATTATTTAACCTATTCATTTTTTTGATCAATGTATTTAAAATAATTGTCTTAAAATCTTTGCAGATTTCAAGGGTGCCTGGATATCTCAGTTGGTTAGGCATCTGACTCTTGATCTTAGCTCAGGTCTTGGTCTCAGGGTGGTGAGTTCAGGCCCCTGTTGGGTTCCATGCTGGGTATGGAGCCTCCTTAAAAAAATAGAATAAAGTTTTTGCAGATTTCAGTAACAGAGTCATTAGTAGGTCTGCCTTTATGGAATTTACTTTTATTCATTATGGATTCAATTTACCTACTTTACATATTTTATAAATTTTTATTCTCTACCAGTCATTGAAGAACAGTGAAATACGATATTTGTTCTTCTTTTCTTTTTTCCCACAGGGCACAAGAACTTTCCTCAGTCAGGTGGCCAGGCCGGGGTCTGTTCCTTTAGATTCCATTTACTTCGAATTGGGCCAGGACTGCAGTTAGTTTATGTCTGATTTCAAATATGACTTAGGGGATTTAACTTTGCCCCTCAGCTCAATCCCCAACTTTCCTTACTACTGTTGCTACATATGAGGGACAAATAAATTGCTTTGATCCCCTCAGGATTTGAACTTGACGAGGTTTGATTTTTAGCTTAGATGGTTATGATTCCTGTATGGATTCAAATTTTGCAGGGCCCTGGGATCTGAGTACCATGAAATGGCTAAAATTTTGTTTGTCCTTTTAGCCCTGTCCTCACAACGATTTCTGCTACTTTCTCAGAACGATTTCTAGGAGATAAACGGAGTGGAGGGTGGGGATGGGGAAGATGTTGGCCTGAACAATAATTTTACTCTTTGAGCTATTACAGATTCCACCTTCTTTTGCTGGCTTCACTGTTGCTGAAGCATGGCTGGTTTCTCCTCACACCTCCTGCTTCCATCTATGACAAGTGTGCTCTTCCCCGGATCTGCAGTCAGATTGGAATTTGCCGCTAGGTGTGGAAGCATCTGCAGCTCTTTGGTCGTCTCTCTCTGGAATTTAGCTCATTAAGGCTTTTTTTTTTTTTCCTCTTTTCCATCCATCCACTGTTCTTTGATAGCTTTATAGAAAAGTGTTTTTTTTTTCCTTGTTGTTACCATGGGAATGACGGTCTTGTGCACCATTCCACATCCTAATCAGAGACAGATCTCCCCCAACAACTTTAGAGCATTTATTCTTTTTGCTTAAAAACTTTGGGATCCGTTTTGTGATTTAGGTTTGTCTTATAAGATTCCTTTAAATATTAAGCAGACAGTAGAAGAGTATTGGATATGCAATTGGAATTTCTTAACACCAAATCTACCACTTATTAGTTTCTGTGATTCTCTGTATGTTTTTCTCAAGGGAGAGTGTGATTGACAACGAAGTATCAATAGACACAGGCAGAGGATGCAGATGCCTTTAATGTAAGTGAAAAATGAAAAGATGTAACTGCATGGTGATGGCTATCCCAGGTTGGAGACTCAGCAGCATCCTGCCTTTTGGAGATCAATTCTCATGGCCTTGAAATTCCTGGAACAATGCTTGTCAGCTAATAACACACCCTGTCTGTGAGGAGAATCTCCTTAGGCAGGTTTTTCAAGAAGCTCACCCCGGGGCCTAGAAGAGGCCATTCTGCCCCTCTGGCCTTTATGTTCCTATGACTATATAGAGAAGCAATGGCCATTCTCAGTTTGTTCTATGTGCTCACCTGCTGTGCTGGGGAATTCAGATAAAACCTTAAGCTAACCCTCTCAGTTGTCTTGGGGATGTCATGTGCATCTTTCATCACTTTGGGTGGATTCTGGTCCTAAAGTCCTTCTGGGAATATGCAGGGTGTGCAGAATCAAAAATTGCTTCTATCATTCCTGGGAATCTGATCATCTGACAGAGAAATGGGCTTAAGGTCTACCTGCCTGCCTGCCTGCCTGCTTTCCTCTCTTTCTTTTTCATTCTTAGAGAGGGAAGAGAAGCAGAGGGAGAGGGAGAGAAAAAATCTTAAGCAGCCTCCATGCCCAGCATGGACCCTGCTATGGGCTCGATCTCAGGACCCTGAGATCATGACCTGAGCTGAAACCAAAAGTCAGACGCTTAACTGGCTGAGCCACCCAACAATGCCCTGGGCTTCCAATCTTTTTAAAGTCCTGTCCTGACACACAAGTAAGATATTTAAACTCTCAGCATCTAATTGCATATATTAAATATGTGGAGGCTTTGTATATTAATTACATCTCATAAAGCTATAAAGATAAACTCCATTAGCATCAAAGTTTCTCGCAAATAAAGTGAACTTAGTAATAAAAATATGTAACTCACTGCTAATGATAATAAAGATAATAGACATGTACTTGCTTTGAAAAATGTAGAGTACTAATCAGATTGGGAAGTAAGGAGATTTCATAGGGCTTTTGGGTTTGGATGTGACACAATGATTGCATTACCCATATGCAAACCCTATTATGTAAATGAAGGCATTAGTAATTATATTAAGAGATTTGGATACTTCAGGTTCTTAGATGCAGGGAGTAGTAGTTCCTCTCCATTCATGAGAAGATACTGAGTATCAGGGATGTAGGAACAAATGCAAAGCAAGTAAGGGGAGAAATTTGATCTGCTCTAGTTTTTGCCAAAGTTTAGGTCTGGTAAGGTGATTTACTCTATACTTTAAGTCATTGGAGGATTTTAAGAGAGAAATTTTATATTCCCTAGCTTTTCCCCCAAGACACAATACTCTTCTCATTTGTCTTGCTTCTGTGCTACATTTATTCTTTCTAAATCTTTCAGTAAAAAACATTTTAGAACTAAGTTAACTATGTTTAAATTATATTTAATATTGACAGATGTTTGATATGGCTATTTCTTAAAATTGTACATTTACCATCTATAATACATCTCCAAAAGTCATCATTTTGTAAAATTATATTGAAATATATTTTTATTTTGAAAGAAGACATACAAACAGTCACAGGTATATAGGAAAAGGGGCTCAATGTCACTAACCAGGAAAATGCAAATCAAAACCACAATGAACTTTCATCTCATGTGACTATTAATTAAAAAGAAAAGAAAAGAAAAGAAAAAAACAAATATGAAAGTTGGGGAAAAGGGAATCCTAGTGGTGCACCATTGGTGGGAATATAAACTGGTGTAGTCACTGTGGAAAACAGAATGCAGTTCCTCAAAACATTAAAATAGAACTACCTTATGATCCAGCAATTCCACCCTGTGTATATATCTAAATAAATTAAATCATTATCTTGAATAGATATCTACACTCTCGTGGTCACTGCAACATTATTCATAATAGTTAAGACATGGAAGCCACCTAAATGTCCATCAAGAGATAAATAAAAATGTGGTAAATACATAAAACAAAAATACTATTTAGTCTTAAAAAAGAAGGAAAGCCTGTCATTTGTGACAGCATGGATGGACCTCAAGGATGTTACATGAAGTGAAATAAGCCCAACACAGAAGGATAAATATTATGTGATACCACTTACATGAAGAATGTACATCATAGCGGCAGCAAGTGGAAAGGTGGTTGCCAGGGACTAGGGAGAGGGGACACAGGGAAGTATTAGTCTAAGAGAACAGGGTTTCAGTTATATAAGATGAGTAAGTCCTAGAGCTCTACTGTGCTTGTAGTGAACAATATTGTATTGTATACTTAAAATTTGCTAAGAGGGTAGGTCTTATATTAAGTGTTCTTGTCACCACACAAAATAGTAAAGAGGGTGCAAGCAAACATTTGGAAGCGATGGACATGTTTATGGCACAGATTGTGGTGATGGTTTCATTGGTGTATATATGTCCAAACTCATCAACTTGTATGCATTAAATATGTACAGCTTTTGGTGTGTCCATCATACCTCAACAAAGTGGTTTAAAATATAAAGAAATGCATTTATTTTGCAATGTGCTTTGTGGCGTCACCGTAATGACCACCTATAGAAGGATGTTAAGGGCTCCATCTTCAAAAAGTTCAACTCTGGTATTTATTTTTAAAATATTTTATTTATTTATTTGAGAGAGAGAGAGAGAAAGAAGCACGCGTCCACACAAGAGCACGCACATGCAGGGGGAGGGGCAAAGGGAGAGGGACAAGCAAACTCCTCACCCTCACCCCCACCCTGAGCAGGGAGCCTGACAGAGGGCTCCTTCCCAGGATACTGGGATCATGACCTGAACCGAAGGCAGATGCTTAAATGACTGAGTCACCCAGGTGGCCCTAAATTCTGATTTAATACTGAAATAGAGTCAGGTACTGAAACAGTAATGTCACATTGCTTTAGAAAGAGATTTTATTTATTTATTCATGAGAGACACAGAGAGAAAGGCAGAGACAGAGGCAGAGGGAGAAGCAGGGTCCTCACAGGAAGCCTGACTCGGGACTCGATCCTGGAACTCCGGGATCATGCCCTGAGCCGAAGGAAGACGCTCAACTGCTGAGCCACTCAGGTGTCCCAGTAAAACTAAAATACTTGTATAAAAAGGCAATTGTTAGATGTGGTCAGTCCTCAGATTAGCCCCTCTGCTTCAGGAGGTTACAATCTATTAGAAACTGATGTGAGTCACAGATAGGGCCAGGGTTTGCTAAATTTTGTGGCAAATGCATCCAAGAATATTTTCATTCTTTTGCAAATATGCAAATATCAAAGCAAGAATAGTACAGGTCACAGTTAAGCAGGCAAGGAAAACTTTATTCAAGGCTGTTGAACATAACTCTGCTGAAACAAAGGCTGGGAGAATTTTGAATCGCTGGGGTAAGGAGGGATCATAGGCCATTTGTGTTTGCTAATTGGCCTTGCCAGAAGGAAAAGTAAACTTTCTCTTATCTTCATGACAGAAGGTCATTTTACTTGGAGCAAAGTGACCCTGGAAGTTGGGCTCCTACCTTCTCGCGGAAAGTGGGAGATACTCCTTGATGTTATCATTTCAAAAGGAGGCTCTCAGCTCCTAGTTGTAGGCATTCCTGGATTGAAGACTGGGCAAGAAGTCTTTAAATAGATTTACATGTCGAAGGGGCAGAGAAAGAAATTTACAGGTTTTCTGAAGAAAACTCTTTGAGGAAAGGGGGGTCAATGTCTAGAGTCAGGAGGAAGCCTGTCTAAAGTTTAATCAAACTGTGGTGAACCTTGAGGCCTTTTGGGTCATCCGCTTGCTTGAACGTTTTCAACCATATTGTGGTCCCATTTTATGTTAATTCAATAACAAGATAACAAAATAGCACTTGAAAAAACTTTACAGTTTGCGAAGACTTTTCCTATGTCATTTCTTTTTATCTTCACACTATGAATGGTGTAGAATTTTCATACCCAATTTATATATGAGAAACTTGATTTTCAGAAATGTTGAATGAATGAACAGAATCATGTATGTGGTGAACGGTAGAGGAGGTACTTAAAGGCATCTGACTCCTGTGCCCTTTCCAACCTGTACTTCCTTTCTTTCTTAAAAAAGATTTTATTTATTTATTTGACAGAGAGAGAGAAAGAGAGAGAGAGAGAGAGAGAGAGAGAGAGAGAGAGAGAGAGAGAGAAAACGAGTGCACAAACAAGCAGGGGGAGTGGCAGAGGGAGAGGGAGAAGCAGGCTCCCCGACCAGGAAGCCTGACCTGGGGTTTGATCCCAGGACCCTGGCATCATGACCTGAGCCAAAGGTGATAGCCACCCAGGCGCCTCCCCAACCTGTACTTCTTAAAGGAAAATGTGTGATAAATTCTTCAGAAAGATAAAGAGAACAATTGCCCTGACATTATGTTTTTTTGATTTGAGAGTCCTGTGCTTTGTTTCTTTAACTTGTATTAATATAGTAGATTAGTAGACAAGCAAAATAGATAACTATTATCAACTTTGGATGATAATAAGTAAAGGATCACGTAAACTCCCTGTTAAAAATGAGTTTATGAATCTGCAAGATTATGTGGAAAAGGTAACTCATGAAAACCGATTTGTATTTGCTACAAATACATAATCTCTCAATTATTTCTCCTTATGCTCATTAAACATATTTCCCGGAGCTTTTGGAGTTTCTCGCTCAGAAATCTCCAATGGCATACGCCCTAAAATTTTTTTTTAGCACAAATAAAGGAAGATGGAGAGTTTTATTCAGGTGTGAGTTTTAATTTCATGAGCTATTTAACAGCTTCCAAATGGAGTTTCTCCGTAGCCAGAATCAAACATAAAGATTTTCTTTGCCACGGTTTCAACTTAATCTGAAAATGATTTGGGTGATGGAGAGAAGGGTTTGTCTAAACACTACCGGCTGGACCCTCCTGACAAATTTCCACCGGTTTTCTAAGCGCCTTCTTGTTCACCGGCGGCGTGGGACCTCTCCCCGTCTGAGCCGCCCTCCTCCCATTTTTATGCGTCGAGCATGTTCTCACTTGAGATTTTCTACCAATCCTTTATGCCTCCTCCTCATC